AGGCGTGTCGATTGCTGAGATCAGAGTTTGACTTTGAGAGTTTCATTGTTTGTTGTCTGTAACAGAGCTTCTATTTTTCTATGAGTCTTATCAGATTATGCTCTCATATAGTGCTTCATTTAACTTCCAGTCAAACAGCTAAAAAGGCCTCCATTGTTTTTAACCTCTTCAACTCCTTGAGACCACCGGTGGTTCCAAAACGCACTTCGTCATATTCGTCATAACTTTCATATTTCATAAGCTACATTCAAAAGGTGGGGGTCGTATGAGAGCTGTAACTGTCTTCTGTCCAGTCAAATAGATGGGTGATGTAATTTTAAACCCTTAGAATAAAAGAAGCTGAACTCACAATTTCTTGTCTGCTGAAAGTCGACCCATTTTTCCACAAATCTGGGCTATGAACTATAAACAGATGGCGTCTCTTCAGTGATCTGCTCTGTAAAAATTATTTTTATGAAATAATACAAAGAGCGTCTAAGATTTTTGGCTTTCAGCAGTAAATTGTAAGCATATAGCAATATGTGTGATCATAAAACACATTTTCTGTTCATTTGAGGGGAGCTTTTACAAAAATACATAAATAAATAGATTAAAAATTTACATTTATTTCATGCAGTTACTAAATAATTTGCCTTACGATTTGGTCATGGAAATTAGACTCCAAAATAGACTCGCTTTCACAGTTTCAAAGAAATCTGCAGGGATGTTTTTCCACACCTCCAATGTTTAGTCTTACAAGTTGGTTTTGCATTTTCTGCGTCTCACAATCCAAGTAATCAGTGATGTTGACGTCTGGACTCTGAGGTGGGCAGTCCACTGTTATGAGAACACCAGCAGCTTCTTTGTTTGATGTGTCTGTCTCCTTTTCTCAGTGAGGTTCTTCTTAACAGCTACACATCCCTTCAGACCCACAGCGCTGAGTCGTCTTCTCACAGTGGACGGATGGATTTCAGATCCGAAGCATCTTGATGTTCTCCTCCCTCTCAAAGATGAAAGCTTTAACCTCTTAACAATCCAGGTTTATTTCATACAAAGACCTATTAGTCAGGAACTACAGGGACTTCAATGCCAGCTAAAGGAGCTTTTCTTAGGTAATAGTAGTGGCTTGTTAGTGCTGTTGTTGTCAGGAGCCTCATTTTCTGTTTCTTCTCATCACTTTTTAACCTCTACCTCCGGAAATTCCTTTCTTTTGACCTTTCTCCTTCCTTATGCAAGTGGGTTGTCATATCTAATCCCTTCAGAAACATCTCCTGAAAAATTAATAACTTGTGCTTTGACTAGAAATTAAACGAAAGGTGGTCTCTGACTTTCGCACAGTGCTCTTTAGGAAGAAATAAATGTCAAAAACAAGCACATTTGATAGAAATTCAGTCTGTATAGCCAGTGCAAACCAATCTGCATCATATTTCATGAGTTGATCATGTTTTGATTAAGGTTACACATAATGCAATGTTTTTTTGCATTTGACGCCAATACAATCTGTGCATCAGCTTCAAAATGAGAGGCTCCTCACACAGGGCACCGTTCTCTTGGCTGCCGGCCTCATATTTGACAGCCGGCCTGTGAGGTGAAGTGAAGTGAGTGTGTGCGTCCCTGATGACTACGTTCGCTCTCTCAGCTGTTTGGGTGTAAATAATCGTTGATATGCATAAACAGCTCTCTCCATTCATTACTGTCAGCGTAGTGAGAGGCCTGCAGGCAGAGGTCGTCCGCCAGGGGTCCGCTCTCCGCTCTCAACCCCGCGGTACCCGTCACTCCAACCTGCTCCGCTGACGCCCTAAACCCTCCATTAGCAAGGCTCCGGGTCGCGACCTCTCTGTGGCATTTGCAATTCCAGATCGTTTGATTAGCGGCGTATTTACATATTTCAGCCGCGGAAGCTGTTGGGGTGTCGGGAACACTTGAAGTGTTGTAAATTCCTTTGGCCTTTTTGTCGGCATGGCGATCAGGGCCTGGTGTGCGCTCCCTACTTTCTCCCACTCTCCTTCAACAGCAGCGACAGTGTCCTTAGCTACTTCTGACAACTCCCCAGATCTGCTCTGACCTCTATCCTCTGACGTAGATGGGAGAGAACTAGTGTCCACTGGAGTGGATCAAACTCCCTCTGAACGGGTTGATGGGTGGTCTCACCCTTCAGACCTCAGCCTATTAAAAGCAATGAGAACCGAATGCTTCAACCACGTTGACTTGGAGAAGCTGTGCTTTTTTTAGTGGAAGGACAAGAAGTGTTAACAGCTAGCTGGCCAGCAAAATGCAGTAAATTGATGTGCTTGCTCATCAGTGAAGTCTCAGGGCATGAACTTGCCAAGACTTGTGTATGACCATCTCTGTGCTTGCTTCACTTGCATATATCCTGTCAATTCAAAACTTTTATTTATTTTTTTTCCAGGAACAATACAGATAATTATTGTTACATACAATGCAATACATCCAGTGTGGCCTATATATATATATATATATATATAAAGCCTATATCCTCAGTCCCTTTTTAGGATTTCTGAAGTAAATAAAACAGTACCACTTCAACCTCTTCAACCCCTTGAGACCGCCGGTGGTTCCAAAACGCACTTTGTCATATTCTTCATAACTTTCAGATTTCATAAGCTACATTCAAAAGGTGGGGGTCATATGAGAGCTAACTGTCTTCTTTCCATCTAAATAGATAAGTAATGTAATTTTATACCCTTATCATAGAAAAAGCTGAATGAGTCGACTCATTTTTCCACAAATCTGGGTTATAAACTATAAACAGATAGCGTCTCTTCAGTGATCTGCTTTGTAAAAATTATTTTTATAAAAAATACAAAGAGCGTCTAAGATTTGTGGCTTTCAGCAGTAAATTGTAAGCATATAAAAAATAAAAATTTACATTTATTTCATGCAGTTACTGAAAAATTTACCTTATGATTTGGTCATGTAAATTCAGATGGACAAACCAAACTATACCCTGGAGAATAAGAGTTTAAAATAAAACTACCCTTATAAAGCAATCATGAATGGTTTAAAATGAGTATATTAATGGTTATTAATTAGGTCTTAAACACCTTAAAATCATTAATAAGCATTTACAACACAAATATAAAGGACAACAGCGACATGTTGTTTGCCTAATAGAGAACCCACATTTGTTTATACAGTTAAACCTCAGATTTTGATGATCACTTACTTTGTCTTCTTCATCAGTTTGCAAACATTCAACTTCATCACATATACATATTCAGCAGATATAACAGCTCACTTTTGCCCTTTTTATTAATGTGCTGTAACTCTGCATACTTTATTACCCTGTTCTTCAGTGGTCAGGACCCCCACAGAGCAGGTACTATTTGGGTGGTGGATCATTCTCAGCATTGCAGTGACACTGACATGGCGGTGGTGTGTTAGTGTGTGTTGCGCTGGTCTGAGTGGATCAGACACAGCAGTGCTGCTGTAGTTTTTAAACACCTCAGTGTCACTGCTGGACTGAGAACCAAAAACATCCAGCCAACAGCGTCCTGTGGGCAGCGTCCTGTGACCACTGATAAAGGACTAGAGGATGACCAACACAAACTGTGCAGCAGCAGATGAGCTATCGTCTCTGGTGGTCTTGTGGGGGTCCTGACCATTGAAGAACAGGGTAATAAAGTATGCAGAGAAACAGATGGACTACAGTCTGTAAATGTAGAACTACAAAGTGCACCTGTGTGGTCAGTGGAGCTGATAAAATGGACAAAGAGAGTAGATACAAGCAGGTGTATTTGATGAAGTTGCTGATCAGTATAGGTTTAAATACTGATTGGGACATATGTGATAGAATCATGGCATTCACATACAGTTGTGCTACCATAATCTAAAAGTTCTTATCAATATAAAATGGTCATTATTTTTGAAGGTCCTAGACCAGCGCTGCCCAAAGTGTAGCCCTCAGGCCAAAGTTGGCTACTCTAACCATATTCCCTCTCCCAATGCCAGAACATACTTTTTATATACATAAATTAGTATATTATCTTCTTTTAAAACCTAAATTTCCAATCTTTAACCTACTTTCTACTTTATCTGCATATTGTTTTGTCTTTTTAGTCAAAACCCACCACAAACATTGCACTTCAACCCCTAAGGCAAAAAGTTTGGGCCACCATGTCTTAGACAGTTTCTTAATATTTGTATTATATTTTAATTGAAGATGTTAAGTTTATTACTTCAGTGATTTCATTTTTATCAACATATATTACAAATTCTTCTTGCTCGTTTTGTCTTACTGTAATGTGCATTGAAACTGCTTCAGTGTGATTTAGTCAAGTAGTTCTTTTTAAACAGAGACATATTGATCATTTATCTATTTAATAATTCTGCCGCAGAGTCTTTGCCTATATATAAAGGATTGTGTCATCTGCATACAATTGACAATCCTTTTACATCTTTCAGATAAATCCTTTTTGTACAAACAAAAAAGCGAGGGACCCAGAATTGAGCCTTGTGGAACACCTATACTACAATTTTGAAAATCAAATATGTTACAGAATAAAATCTTGTTATGCTAAAGTTGAGAATGTCTTTCAAGTTACACTTCATCTGTTTTGTTGTGGTCAAGAGAGCAGCATGCCCAGTCCAGTGGAAGCTCCTTAACTAGAACTCCTCATTTGGAGGGCTGGTGCACAGGGCTAGCAGTGTAATCCTAAGCTATTTGTCACAGCACACACATGTAGCAGCAGCTATGCATGCACAAGTGGAACAGATCAATATTCAGTGCAGTCTCACTGTGAAGCCCTTCACTGTTAATGTAACTGAACATGTGTGACATAAAAGGGTCATGGATGAAGGAGCAGACGGTCTAAAGTCAGAACAAGTAGTCAGGAGAAGCGTTTTTAACAGTACCAGTGCGATTACCATTCTTAAAACGTTCTCTAGGGGTCTTCAAAAGACAGGCATTGGGAACTTACTGTGGAGTGCTGTATGCTGCTCGAGTGGAATAATCCAGAACCCTAGAAGAAATTAGGACGGAAGTCACCATACAGATGAAATATCAGAGGTAAACTTTATTTTGGGAGGCTTAAAACTTGAACAGTGGACAGTGTTTATGAGATGAAATCGATCCAAGGGTGATAACTGACAGTTCTGTGAGTTCTGAAAATAAACCTGGGAAACGAAACCAAATAAAAACTCATACCACAAAAAATTCCATACATTCAACTACTACTACTCAAAAGCACAAAATTAATGTTACATAAAAGAGAGAAAAAATATCCTATTGTATTTTTTTTAGCTGATGCTATTTCACTCCTTAAATTCATGAGTTTTAGTACTTCTACGTTTTAGTTCAGCAAAGAACCAATGGTCTTTTTTGTTGCTCAAGTTTTGAGATCATTTTGGGATGTTTCTTTAATTTACTGTGTCCCACTCTACGACAGACAATGCCTACAGTCCCATAACTTTGCACACTGTCATTGTCCACCTACGTTTAGAGGAATATCAGGTTAACCTACGGTGCGGCAGTGCAACCAGGATCAGGTGTAGTCACCTTTAAAGACCACTTAAATAATGTGGGGACACTAGTTCTTATTCTAGTATTCAACAAATTCACTGAAATCAGGAGATTTTAATATTAAGATAAATGTTCGCAAATATACCAATGTATTCAAACACAACCATGTATAACTAAATAAGTAAATACCTAATTATATTATTCAACATTCATAGAAATATATGGCCATGAGTTTCTTTGCTTTAAGTATTCAACCTCTAAAAATATGGCATTCTAAAGCTTTTTAAGAGTTGTTATAAAACACACTACCTCTCAATCTATAGATCTGATGTGAGTCAAGCTAGTTTCTATAATGCAATAATTTAAAGGTGATTATTGACTGAGAAATTGCAGTTCTGTACATCCTCCAGCAATAACTTCAATATTGAAAAGAAACTCCACCATGGCTTTAAGTCCTAATGTGCCATCAACTTAAATGAGATTCTTATTCTTCTTTTTTTTTGTTCTTTTTGAGATTTTTTGGGATACAATACTCAGAAATAACATATCTCAAGAGAAAAAAAAACAAAACAAAACAAAACAAAACGTAAAAACTTCAGCTATGCTACATCAAAATCAAAACTGAAAACTTTTCCTGACTTTGTTCACCACAAAACATGACATATCTGCGTGTTCCTTTAGCTTTCACTTCAGAAACAAAGCTAAATTGGGCCACACGACGTTTAAGACTAGGATTAGTTTGCAAATCTGGCCCTTAAATTCTTTTAGAGGACGCTGGACTGAAAAACCTTCACATAAAATTCCTGCTGTTTTTACAAATCGTACTGAAGATTGTACACATACCGTAGTCCCTGAACTCATAATACAGAATGTTATGACATATTATGCTGATAATGCCAAGCGTCTGCCCAAACAAATTCCCTGCATATTCCCAACCAGCGCCGAAATGAGGCTGCTGGAAAAAAAAAAAACAGAAAAAGAAAAAAGAGAACGCAGACTTTGGAATCTAACTGAAGTCCTGAGGAGTAGAACATGGAACACATACGTACACATACGCACAAACTAAGGCTAGCAGTTTTCATAACAGTTTAAATTTCGTCGTCGGGCATTCGGCAGCAGCATTTCAAGTGTAGGGGATCCACTGACCGCCCCTGGTTTTCGGACACAGCTTCGCGACATACAGTATTTCCTTTTACACACGTTTCAAAGTCTTTTACTCTCAAGTACGACGTGAGTTCAGGGGTAGGGAGAGTGTTGTAAACACATCAGTGCTGTTTTGTCTGCAGAGTGGCTTGGTTTGCTGTTTTGTCTGCAAAGTGGCTTTGTTTGTGTAACCTTCAAAGAAAAAAAACTGCCAAACAGACTTTCAGAGAAAATGAAGCTAAAAACAACTCAATGCTATTTACACAGTGTTGTACGTTCTTAGGGAGATCATGTCTGCTTGGTTATACTTGAAGAGCTATCTAACAGAGCTTTGGGTGCACACATTCTTCTCCTAATAAAAAAAAATGAAAGTAGTAGAAGTTTCCTCAGGAAGTTGCTGGTCCATGGGACGTTCCAGGACTAGATGGGTGCTCGGGGTCATCGGATGGGCCGTGGCGGAGCCTCCTGTCAGGGTACTGCGTGTTGTCAAAGGTGAGGCGGTGCACGGTCTGGACATGGGTCTTCAGGTTGCCTTTCTGGGAGGCGCTGTAGGGACAGTACTGACACCGGAACGGTCTCTCACCTGGAACAGACACACGCAAGGGCAGGCCGAGGTCAGCGCCAGGGCGAGAGACATTGCCAGAGAGAGGAGAGAGAGAGTGAGAGAGATGGAGGCTGGTGAGCTGGTTGTCAAAGTGATACTTTTCTTTTTTGTGTTAGGGAGAAAACAGAGGCAGGTTGGGAGCGCGGGCGGGGGAGGGGCCGTAGCCATGATTGATGGGCTGATGACATGCCATATGGAGACGGTTGACTGTTCCCCCTGAGGGGACGTCAGCCTTTTGTTTTCTGTTTCTGTCAGCTGCTCGTAGAAACACACAGACACAAGTATCACTGCCTACCTTCTTCCCCTGAGCCACAAAACGTCATACCGACGGCGGATGTCGAAAGTTTGCACAGAGAGAGAGAGAGAAAGGCGAACTTGACAACGGGCTTTTTTTCCCCTCCGCCCGTCTCTCAGTGGCTCAGCGCAGGTATAATTGTCCGGGTCCCACTTTCGCTGTTTAATTAGACTGATGTACAGCGTCGTCCTCGCGCAATCGCATAAAAATATCCCCCCACACCTGAGCAAAACAAATGAGTCTGCCATTCAATTGCTCCATATTATTATTTTTGAAAAATGAATGAATTATCCGCTAGGAAATAATTGTCATTCCGAGAGGCTGAAAAAGGGGGGCATTATCATAAATCACGTCTCATAAAAAAAACGAGACAGACACTATTAATCAAGACTATCTGAGGCTGAGTCGAGCTAGCAGCATGATAAGGTCTGAGCCAGAGTGAGCACTTCTCCCAGGGCAGCCGCCCCGGCTCCCCGGGGGAAAATAAAGTGAAATCCCGTCCAAAACACGGCCCACTTAATTACATTAAAGGTTATTGTCAGTACATCGTGCACAGGCTAGGATACATATTTAATTTGACCTTTCCTCTCTCCCTGATTTCGCCGTCCGCACTATGCAACACATGCAAAGGGGGTAATTCATTAAGGAAGTCCCCCTCGCTGCAGCAGGCCACAATCTCTGATTGTTAAGGCAGATGCGAGCCATTTGTCCTTCCTGTTACGATGGAAACCTGCTTTTTTTTCCCTTTTACGAAAGTTCTGCAGTCGTGGCGAGTGTGAGAGTGACATCACTGCATGGTACTGCATGGCACAGTGGACAATGTAGGGAAATGAATGAGACCTGTCCAGATGGAAGACACATATGCACACACACATAAATACCCCACACATTCCCCAAACAACCAAACGAAGAATGGAACATACTTGTTAGGGGGCTTCTGTAGAGGTTGGACTCCAGTTCCCATGAGTCCATTGGACTCTAATAACACTGTGGGAACAAGGTGGCCAGTTAAGAACACAAATCAAATACTAAAAATCATTTAAAATAACTTCAAAACTGAAAACATATCCTCTTTCCTGTGCTATCAAGGGTATAATTTTTAGTGAAGAAGGCAGGCGGCAAATGTCTCCAACTAATACAGGTAAGAGTCCATAAACTTTAGACCCACCATGAACATCATTTAAAACCATAACTTGTAGGAAAAAAATAAAAAATAAAAATAAAAATAGTTGGTCTTTAGCTACCAGTTTTCATGGGTGATTCCATCATTGGGGTGCCACTGAAATTACACTTACAAATATGTATGCAACTTAAAAATAAAAGATATTTTAAAGATATGTTGAGCGTCCTTCATGAGGACCTCCCCCTGAGGCCAACTTACAACATAATTCATTTGTGCATGACCGTCCATTTTCCAATCACTCAAAACAGCCTGTTTTAGTTGCTGTGCCTTTAAGACTAATATATGTAAATGATCTCTGTTCTGATTGGCTGTCCGGTTTTGTGCCACACTCCTTATAGCTTCTATGTGAGCAGGTGTGGCCAAACTCCAGTAGCCCTGAATAGGTGGATATGTAAATGTGTTGACATCATAAAAAAAGGTTTCAAAACAGGTTGTTTCCATATATGGACTGTATGGACTGAGGAGTGAAGGGTCTGTTTTAAGACTTTAACAATACTACAGCAAACTTTTATGTCAAGAAAGTGAGGAAAATTTGGTTTTCTATCATATATTCCCTGTAATAAATATACAACATCCAGGAAACAGCATTTTTGCCTGTCCCAGACAATTACATCTACACTTTACCTTGAAATATAATCACTAAATAGGCCAAAAATCATATATATATATATATATATATATATATATATATATATATATATATATATATATAGTTTTTTTATAGTTTTTATATATATATATATATATAGTTTTTTTTTTTTTGCATTAATGTGTCGAATGATGTTTGGGACATCATTTTTCATAAATCATCCATAATACGCTATGAAAAAGGTACATTTTAATCACATTCCACTACATTTAGTCCACCCTGTTACCTGAACACACTGACTTCTTTGAAATATCTGGAATCTTCAACAGGACAGCTGAATTTACTGAAGTTCATGGGGAGAAGAATCTTTTTATCTGTTTTCAATGAGATTAACTGATAAGATCACTTTGAAAGTTCAACCCTGTTACACTAATTATAGACTGAAAGTAAAACATTTACCTAAAAAAGTACATTTTGAGTAAATCAGTTTGCTTAAAGGGCCGTATCTTACATGTTTCTTGTACGTCCACTCATGACGTTTGTGTGGTTTTACATACCCAAAAAGTTGCGACTGTGTTACTGTGCCTTTAAGATTTATATATGTAAATGATCTCTGTTTCGATTGGCTGCCTCACTCACAAAGTCTTGGCTGAGACACTCTTTATAAATTCAGTATGAATGGGCAGGGCTAAACAGCTGAAGGCTGAGTAGGTGAATTAATATGCGTAAATGTACTCGTTTTTGTGGCAGTCCAATCAGGCTGTTTTTGCAGCATAATTTCCATATACCTTTATGGACTGTATGGACTGCGGAGTGAATGATACATAAACCAATGTTTACATACTACATCGAACTTTTTGAGTGAGGAAAATGAGTTTTTCTATCATATAGGCCCTTTAATGTCCTCATTAGCATGGTCGCTAGCTGACCACATTTTGTCTATGTGCTAATTCGATGCTAAAAAGTCATCCCTGCTCTTTGAAGCCACCATCATTGCTCCTGAGGTGGTCTAACACATTTGGAATGTTTTTTCAAGGCTGAATGCATGTCTTATATTCAAACATATTCAAACTGAAAACATTTTGGAGAGTCATAAGTGCTAAATGGCACCTGAATCGTGGAATCACCCTCTTCTGTCTGCGTGCGCCTGATCCCATCTCAATCCTCTAGAAACTACCAGCACATTCCAGTCAGAAAATGAAATTGAATGTACTCGACTGAGCAGTGACGGTGTTTAAAACGAACATGCTAAGCAGTTAAAAGCAGAGACTCTACATGTAGCGCTCCTTTAAGACGGAGCGCGGGACTCATCCAGCATTAGCCTCAGATTAGCATCAGCGGTTAGCGCAGCGGCGGCAGACAGTGAGCTGAAACTACCAATTTAGGCTGACACACAGAGTTAGCGCGTATGCTAATGGAGGCCTGGGGCCCCTGCCCCGTTTCATTTGGACGCTCACGCCGAACGCGAGCGATCACTGACGACGTTGATTATAACTCCACGCGCGGAGAGAGCAGCCTCTCCTTCTGTATAATGCAGCGTTTGGCCTCTGTCACCGGGGGATCAGGCCGGGCTAAGCCCGAGCAACCTTCTCACGTTCTTCTGTAGAACTCGCCCGCCTGCTCGGCTAAGGCTCTTCTTGTCTAACAGAGTGGGGAAGCCATTTAGCCGAGGTAATTACTGATTACAAACGACCTCGTTATTTTTGCATGAAAGCTGCTTCAGTGTTTTTTTTTAAAGAGATTTGCTCTTGTGGGTTATTCTTATCCAGGTTGAGGAGGAATACTTTCATGTGCGGATGTGCAGCAGGAGAACAATGGCTTTTCTGTGTGGATAAACTAAAACAGCTGATAAGACACAGCAGGCGGCGCACATTGGCATTTGAGTCTATGAGAGCCAGACCTGGATCAGAGGAGAAATCCAGTGATTTTTAAAAAATATCTGCATAATTAAACCGCTAAGATGTAAACAAAGTCATTCAGAGTAGTTGTGAAATGGTACGTTATAGAGAAAATTAGCGTCACGGTGGTGGTGATGGGAACCAGATATCCGAAACGTTTAATGCCTCTAAAAGCTCCCTCACAGAAAGGTATTGCAGAAAATGGATATGAATACATATGCCTGATGGCTGAGACATTATTTAACAATGGATTTGAGAAGGTTTGAGACTATTTTTTGAGGTCTGTTCATAGTAGATGACAAACAGCGCATTGCGAGGCAAAATAGACCCCAAAGAAAACTTATTTTTGCAGATTTATCACTGTTTTACCACCATCAACATTCTATATAAAACTCAGAAGACTCGTGTAGGTTCACTGGTGGTTCTGGATAGTAAACAAAATGACTATATTAGTGTTGTAGTCATGGTGACCCCTGGTTCCCATCACCATCACTGTAAAGAAATCCGAGTCTCTACAATGAAACATTTCACACCAAAAAACGCTGAATGACTGTTTACATCTTAAAGCGAAATTCCACCAATTTTCCAAAACTTCTGCATTAAGAAACCTTTAAGATGTAAACCAAGTCGTTCAGAGTGGTTTGGTGTGAAATGCTTCATTCTAGAGAAACTTACTCAGTCAGAATTGTTTATAGTAGTGGTGATAGGAACCAGACGTCTGAAGCCTCTAAAAGCTCCCTCACAGAAAGTTACTACATCAAATGTTTATGAATACACCGCCTGATGTCTGAGACATTGTTTATGATACTTTATGTTTACAATAATTTAAAAAAAGACTATACTTTTTTAGTCCATTCATGGTGGAGTGGTACGTAGGTTCTTGTGAGGCAAAACAGTCCCCAAAGAAAACACATATTTTCATATTTACACATATAAACACTGGTTTTGGATGGTAAACAAAATGGCTGTATTTGTGCTGTAGACATTGTGACCCCTGGTTTCTATCACCACCACTGTAAAGACATCAGAGTCAGTATGTTCCTCTATAATGAACCACTTCATGTGAAACCACTCTGAATGACTTTGTTTACATCTCAATTATTGAATTATGCAGAAATTTCAGTCTAAGTCTAGATAAAATGCTATCTTTAATAGTGAAACACCATTGGCAATGTAATGTATTCTAAGAATTGTCTTAATCCATGTCCAAAAAAATCTGATTCCATATGTATTTGAAGCAAAAATAGTGTTTTATTTGCACTCAATTCAAACACAAACAAATCCTTTGGAGCTTCTGGATGTGCTTATGTCGCTGAGTGTTGCATTCAGACTGTGCCCTTAGTCTTGTCCTTTACTAATTAAAAAAAAGCTGCTTTAGATGTTATTCTAAACCTCATGTTTTCTACTATTCTAAATGCCATTATCTCATTAGTGACCTTCACATGGCCTATTTTGAAAATGTGCCTGTCCACTACGGGACGTTGCGTGTGGTCAGACCGGGACACGGTGACGGACTGTGACATGCTCTTAGTGCGCTTTTGACGGACATCACTGTGGACTAGTAACTGCCGAGCTCATTAGCATTCGCAAATACATCTCCATAAGTGACATCTGATTAATAATGTATACAATTTCTCACAGGTCAGAGTCACACAGATATGTTTGTGGAGGCGAAAGGAAAAAACAGAGGAACAGACTGTCTTATCCAAGGACAGAGAGATCACTCAAAGATACAAGCACGCACATACACATAGACACAAGCTGTTTGGATTGTGTGGCTTGGCTTTGCAGCGTAGCTGAAAAGGATATATTCGCTGTCATAGCAAAACCTTGTAACTTCATTTTTTCCAATGTTTTATTTTTCTTACATGGTTTGAAAAAGCTGCCTGTCACATTGCGTGAACATTTCCTGACGAATGGGTCAATAGAAATGCCTTAAAGTTACACAGGATAAAAATTTCTAGCATTAATGTAGAGCAGAGTAGGGCACAACTTAAAACATTTAGATTTTTACCAAAAAAATTGTCAAATATTTGAGCAAGATTATTAATTTTACTTATACAAGCACCCCCCGTAGCCCATAGGTGGGGTTAATGGGGTTAGTTGTAAAAGCTGCTAAAAAGTCTGGTAAATCGATGTAATTGCAATTAATTCAATATAAGTCTGTTATTTGAGCTAGACGAGCTAAATGTGTAAAAATATTTGCATTGAAATACAGTTGTATGGAAAAAGTTGGGCACCCCTGGTCAAATTACATGATTTGTAGATTTTCTAACTAAATAACTGAACACATCCTCTACATGGAACCCACTTCTGCACATTTCAATGCACAATCACTGTTTATTTGCTGAATTTAACATATTGGGACATAAATGAGGCCTGTGCAAACGTTACGGCACATTTTATACCTAATTTTATTTTTAAAATAAAAGTTACTCTTACGGTACATCTTTAGGGTGAATATTGAGAAATATCTGTTGTATCAACTGTGAGGGATACGAGAAGGGCCTCTCTAAGTATATTAAACAATACATGTTACACTTTACCTCATGTTAGTTTGTGCCCCACTCTATTCTATGTTTTTTTTTCCTTTTCCGGTATAATTACCATTTTACAGATAAAACATTTTGTTATGACAGCAACTGTATAATTTTGGTATGACTGTGTGTGGATAGTCTGGTACTGTTCAAAAACCACCTTTCATTTATTTAATTTCTAGGCAAAACTGCCATTACATACAAGTTACTCATTGTTCAGGAGATGTTTCTGAGGAGATTAGATGCAAGATGATCCACTTGTGAAAGGAAGGAGAAAGGAAAATAAGTGAAAAAAAGAAGAGCTACCAAAAATGAAATTCAAAAAATGATTAACAGCTACAGAGAAAACAGGACTCCTAACAACCCCCTGGAAGACCTGGAGGGTATTCCATAAAGCAGGACTTCTCAGTTTAGCTAGATAACTTAAGCCCAAAGCCAAGTTTGTCCTATAGGAAAAAAAAGCTGAGGGACATTCCCATTGGACAGTCATAATCTTTGGGCTTAAGTCATTTGGCTAAGTGAGAAATCCTGCTTTGTGGAGTACCCTCCTGGTAGACCATTAAACTGCCCCCATCAGATAATCAGCACTCAGTGTTTATCCTGCTCCACTCATGCTTCAGATCTGAAGATCGTCACTGAACATGTATGGGATTTCTTAGATTGTGAGAAGCAGAAAGTGCAACCAACTTCTAAGACTGAACTTTGGAAGTTAAAAAATAGCCCTGCAGGTTTTTCTGGAAAGCTGAAAGTGAGTCTGTAATAAAAAGGTACAATTGGCCTCACTAAGTACTGAAAATGCATGTTTTATTGCTAAAAATGACCGATTTGGCTAGAAATAAAAAAAATGAAGGGTGGTCTCTGACTTTTGCACAGCGCTGTACATGTTAGCTTGCGTTAGTACTTTGCACACTATTATGTGTATGTTTTAGTGTTTTCTTTACCTGTATGGGACCTCATATGTGTGCGGTAATGGCTGTGTTGGGTAAAGCTCTTCCCGCACACTGGACAGACGTACTCCCCCTGTTGTTGCCCTGACCTCACCATCCCTACAGCACACATACACAGAAAGAGAGAGAGAGAGAGAGAGAGAGAGGACGGAGAGTAAGTCAAAGAGGAAAGCCATGTAAAAAACCACATGAGAGAGGGAGCGAGAGAGTGAGAGCAGGCGAGAGAGGAGCAAACATCATTAGTATGTCTAATGTGTCATTATGTGAGCTACCTTCAGGGCCTGGATGAGGAGCTGTCTGGCCGCATCACGCGAGCACTTCTGACAGGCTGACGTGTACACAGCCCCGCACGGCCGCATAAATTACCGCGAATTAAAAGCCTCGCCCTGTGATGTGCCCTCATCTGCGCTACCGTGTCACATGTCAGGTGTGCCTCTCTCTCTCTCTCTGCCCTCCCTCTCTCCCTCTCCTTCGCGCTCTCCTCCTCTAGCCGAGCAGCTGGATGCTCTTTTCCTGCCTGTCGCTCTGGCTCTGTCAAGCCTCGTCCGCTCCGGCGATTCGCCAGGACACCCGTGTGGCAGGAGAACGGCCCGCCGAGGTAACGGGAACAGAAGAGGAACCCGGCCTCTCGTTTTCCCCTCAGGGCCCGCAAAAAAAAGAGAGCTCGCCAGCCGAAACGATGTCCCCTTGGCTCCTGTCCGTCACCCGGCGCCGGTGGTCCTACCTGCCCTGACCCTGGCGGCCCCGCGTTGTCGTGGCGACGAGCCGTGACTGAAAGTGTTGGTGGCAGAGCGGAGCCGGGGCCGCCGTTCGTAAACACGAGTTATTAGCATGCATGAGCTGCGCTAAACAGGAAGAGCAGCGGACGGCACGAACAAAAGCGGAGCCCCATGTTGGAAAGGTCACTGTATTGTATGTGACTTAAAGGGCTAAAGTGGAGCCTGATGATATCGGGCCGGACAGCTGACAGAGACTTCCTCTGTCTCTCAGTAGTTCAACACCAGAGACCGCGGCGGCGGCCGGCCAACAACAGCCCGGCAAATTGACTTCGAACGAAGAGAGGGAGGGAGGGAGGGAGAGAGGGAGAGAGGAGGGGGCTTAAAAAATAAAAAAAAGGAGAAAGAAGAGATTCAGTAATCACCATTTTTCAAAGCAGCTGGTGGCTTAATTTGACTCCTCTTGCTCTTTCACTCTCTCTCCCTCTCCCTCTCCATGCTACTTTGCATATTTGTAGCATCGAGGCACTGCGGGCCCTCAGAGATTGCCTGCCATGGCGTTGGAAGCATGTTGTTTAAAGCCAGAAATGCCTCTCAGCGATAGCTGTCTGAAATGTTTTTGCACACTTTGAGAGTTTGCATAAAGATGAAGACATTACTCAATAGTTCCATTAACCTTTTGCGTGTGTGTGTGTGTGTGTGTATGTGCACGTGTGTGTTTGCATAGCTGTTGAAAATAGGCGCGTGTGTGTGTGTGTGGAGCGTTTTTCTCTTGCTTTTTTATTTTTCATTTTAGCTCGACACAAATGAATAATAACGGCCTTGTCTGAATATTTGGAATAACCGAGAAGCGTTCGTTCAAGGTGTCAATCTTCATACCTTACAGGGCCCATATCCTACACTTTTCATGCATTTTATTATTTTCCCTGAGGTCCACTTTGGTTTTATGTACCTAAGAAAGTCATAATTTGTTTTTACAGGACGACTTTCAAACCTCTCTCTCTCCCTTAGAATTAAACAGGCTGTTTTTTTTTTTTTTGTTTTTTTTTGTTACTGCACCTGAGTATTTCTCTAAATACTCTTAATCTGTCCATCAACATCTCCTGTTATCATATATGCTAAAAGGAGAGCTTAATTCCAAACATATTTTACAGTCACTGGTGTTGTATGAATATGGTGTAACACCAGTGACAGTGACTCCAGTGACATTCTGGTTAAAACTGAGGATTCTGTAAATTGGCTGACTCACTGGCCATCAGATGACCTTGTGCAACTATTTAAACTCAGTAATAAAAGTGATAATATGGCATTATTTTGACATAATATTAATCACCCAGCCATTAAAGCACATAACACCAGTGACACACAGACGTTATGAGCTGCCGGATAAACAAAATTATTAATAAATGAATGAAATATAGTGAGCGAGTGTGACTCGCCTTCTCATGCCTTGAGATGCTTCCTCTCTGATGAGCCTCGACCCAAAGAAGCAGTTTAATAGAGCTGAAAATACTGTGTTAAAATGTAATGTAAGAGTCCTGATAACACCAGTTACCAAAATCTCTGTGACAAATGATTTTTTTAAATTTAGTATAACGTTAATGATATAAAAAAGTAAACATGAATCTGTTTTATACAAGGTCCTAAGTTAAACCTTTTAAAAATATTGTTTCATATTAAAAATGGTTTCTCAAATGTGGAAAAATTGGTTTTGGAGCTGTTTTACATACGGCAAGCGACTATGGAACAGGATAAAAAAGAAAAATCAGAGAAATCATAAGAGAAAAGTATTATTTAATCTTAGGTCAATTGTGTAAATTTACGTACTGACTTTTGAAACTGTGCCTAATATTTTAAGCATCTTTTTAAGCCCTGCAAACTTTGTGACATGGTTGATTTATCTTTGCAACAGAAAAGCACCTACCAGACTGAGGCGAGTCTTCAGGATGCCTTCTTTACATGAGTGAAGCACAATTAATGAACTTTACATTATTTGTAGTTATGATCTGGGGTGCCATGTCTAAAATAGTTATATAATATAGTTGTATAATATATTGTATTATTATATACAACTACATTGTGCAGCCCTACAGATAAATAGCTAAGATAGCAGTTATTCTGCCAAGAACAGGTATTTCTCTAGAAGCAGAACTGCACAACACGGACAGATTATTATTTTACAATTATCATATTGGTCCACATTGCAAATCATCAGTGCCTGAACAAAAACTCTTTATCTCTAAACTGGTAACAGACAAAAACTTGTATGCAAAAGTTTGGGCACCCCTGCTCAAATGTCATCTTGTTGATTTTCTGTGTATATAAAGTTTCCACCTCATCTTCAGAGAACACACTTCTGCACATTTTCATGCACAATTATTGTTTATTTGCTAAATAAAAAAAAAAAACATAAGAAAAATAAAACATAAAATGTGGCCTAAGCAAAAATTATGCCATATTTTAGATTTTATTTCGTTGCTGTGGAAACAAAACCTCGCATCTCCATTTTTTTCTCTTTTCAGTTTTTGTCATAATTTGAAATTGCCTGTTGCTCTTTACATTGTATGTAAATTTCACGATGAATGGACAGAAAGTAATGGCCAAAAATTACTTCCAAAAAAGTCTGGCTCCATTGACTTACATTAAAAGTAAAGAAGGTTTTTTCCTTCTCCTATAAAGTTACCACTTTGGAGATACGAGGATTTGTTTCAACAACAGTGATGTATTTTTTCCAAAATGTTGCCATCAAATAAATAGAAACTGTGCCCTAAAATTTGCCTTTATAAAATTTGTTCCCTCTTGTTTCTGTAAACTCATTTTCACTTAGAAAATCTAAAAAATACATGTAATTTGTTTAAACTATTGCATACAACTGTATATATTCATCCATTCATGTTGACATTCTAACTCATTATAATGGTTAGCTGATTTTAAATTATGTAAAAAAAAAAAGGAGATACAAAGTTTTATTCTGACCGCAGCAACATGCAATGTGCCTTAGAATATAATAAAACACATAACTGAACCTTTAATGTGATATGATAATAAATAGGCCTGAATTACTCCGACCAAAATTATTTATGTCTCTTAAATTGCCTTTCTTATCAAAACACTGAAGAAACCTATCTGGAACTCCTGAGGTGGGTCAGCGCACATAATAAACCCCTTAGTAATTTGTTAGAGGACTCATTTGTACATTAAGATCTTCTACAATATTGGTACTGCAAAGGCCAATGTAACGGTAATGATTAACTAATGATATACTGTGTAGCTTTACTCTACAAGTCATTTTAGAAACCTTCCTCTACTTTCTGTAGATGTACAAATGAACTGGTGGTGTTTTGAGCTCACTCCCTTGTCTTACCTGCTTGCTCCATCATGATGTTACTGAAGCCCCAGTGATGGTACAGCGCTGCCAGGTCATGAGGGCTGCAGTTTTTCAAGAAACTGAAGATGTCTGTAAAAGCTTCTGGACTTTCTGCTGTTTGCTGCCTCTTGGGTTGGGAGTGAGACGATGATCCGGGCAGGCCTAGCCTACTCCAGGGGTCATATCCTGCAGAGGTCTGAGTGTCCTGGACTTGAGGTTCAGACCGGCTGGGCGTCTGCGGGGCTTGGGCTTTGGGACTCCTCTGCTCTGAGACATTGTGCTTGCTGGAGAGCATGAAGCGAAGTCCCTCCTGGGGTAACAAGCTAGTTTCCATGACTCTGCTTCCTGTCTTTGGGCTTCCGGTCTTCTGAGGAGTTGCTGTTGGTCTTGCTGTGCTAGTAGAGGTGGCAATTTGTTGGTGGGCCTCCATTCTGCTTTTGGTGGTCCCGATCTCATCTGTCTGGGAGTTGCTGGCCTTGTGTTTGGAGGCGTGCGCCGATCCTCCGGTGTGCCCACCCTTGCTTTGTGAGGAGGTGGATTCGCAACTGCTGTTTTGAGGCTTAGGCTTCTTTGTTCCTGTGGGCCCAGATTCAGGAGGGGTCGTGCGGAAGGTGCGTGTCTGGGGCAGTGATGGACAATCCTTGCCCTCCAGAAACGGAGGTGGTCCAGTGCGTCTCTTGAAATCAAGGATTGATTTAGGCCCCTTGAGGCCATTTTTGGGAGCCCACTTGGGGGCCAGTGTAGCACTGTCAACTTTATGTGCAATCCTCTGGTGGATCCAGAGAACTTCAGGGTACAACGTAGCATGGGAACAGTACGGGCACTGGTGCCTCACCAGACTTTTCTGCACTTCTCCTTCTTTCGGGTTATCCGCCTCCACCGAAAGATTCAGCAGACTGGCATCCACTTTCTCGGTACTGACCTCTCCCTGCCCTTTGCTTTTCCCGCCCCCTCTCCCATCACTGTTCCTGGAGGGAGGAGTTGTGCTGCTCATCGCCGCCCTCTCCAGGTGGTTGGAGGAGGTGTAGGGCCAGTATGGCTGCTGCAGCAGGGCTTTCCTCAGCCTGGGGAAGCCTCCGTGGCTGGTGGAAGGACTGTGGCTTTGGCTAAATGTGCTGGTTAAGGCCTCACGCTTCTGAACCCGGTCCCTGATAGCTGTGTGCTGAACGTGCATGTGGGCCGCCATGGCAGATGGGTCGGAGGTGATGAAGTCACAGTGGTCGCAGGTGTATGGCTTTTTCTCTGAAAACGCAGAAAAACAGGAAATGAGTATTCATAGATCAAAGGAGAACGTTACCAAAAGCAAAAAGAGTGACATACATTTAAAAAGTTATCTGATGGCACATGTGCTCCCTTTCAAAACTGCTTAGGACAATTTTTTTAGAATCAAGTACACTGACGTCTTTTTCATGATACCATGCAAGCAGAAAGAATATATTCTGAGGCAGTCTTAAGTCCTCTTTCAGCAATTTTATTGTACTATAAAAATGATCCCATCTGCAGCAAAAATATATGTACATACATTTCTTCTCATTCGAAATATACGTGCAATATATGTCAATATATCGCTGCTGTGGGAACAAATCCTCGCATCTTTATTTTTTGTCATTTTTCACTTTTTGACATAAATTGAAAATGCTTGTTTCTCTTTACATAGTGTGTTAATTTCATGGTGAATGGACCGAAATGAATGGCCCAAAATTACTTCGAGAAAAGTCTGGTTCCACTGACTAACATAAGAAAGTAAAGCAGGTTTTGTCCTTCCCCTGTAAAGTTATCATTTTGGAGATATGAGGTTTTCTTCCGACAGTGAGGTTTGAGCACCAAAATGTTAATGTGTTTGTGTAAACATTTCCAAACCACTCCTTGAAATTGCCCAATATTATTTGTAGTTATTATTCAATACCAAATTTGGCTAATCAATCCTTCTTTATGGTAAAGTGTACTGCTGATAACATTTATCAAATCCATGTGGTGGCTGGAGGCATAAAGGAGAAATCTGGAACAACACTATGTTCTTCAAACCAGATAACAAGGTACTGATTATTTATTTTTTTTTATTTTACATTACATTTGTTGTATTGTTAAATGTTTTTATAAGCTAAGAAAACCCTTACTACATTAACATATCGCTGCTGTCGGAAGGAAAAATCTCCATTTTTGTCGTTTTTCAGTTTTTGACATAATTTGAAAATGCCTGTTGCCCTTTATGTTGCATGTAAATTTCATGATGAATGGACCAAAAGAAACGGCCCAAAATTACTTCCAAAAAGTCTGGTTCCATTGACTTACATTAAAAGTAAAGCAGGTTTTTTCCTTCTCCTGTAAAGTTATAATTTTGGAGATAAAAGGTTTTCTTCCGACAGCAGCGATATATGCACATAAAAGTAGATTAAATATATATGCAAAGATGTACATTTTTTATATGTACTTATATGTTAAAAAAGTAAATATATTTCAAAATTCAAAAATACTGATACATATTTTTAAAAATATACAGTATTATGCTCCTAAGGAACCTAAGCACATTGTCAAACCATTTACCTCAGAAACGTAACCTTTTAAAAACACCATGTTATTAGAATAAAGAAGAAGTACAAATAAACAACAAAGAACCACATTTTTTTCTACACTCTTACGATGATGGTTCTTTAAGGGTTTTTAGTAAAGAAAATGGTTCTGTATAGAATCTTTTTAAAAAGTGGTCTATATAGCACCAAAAAAGGTTCTTCTATTGTTATGATGTCAAGCCTGTAACAATAGAAGAACCCTTTTTAGTGATATTTTGAACCCTTTTCAAAAAGGTTCTATATAGAACCATATAAAACACACTCTCCACCAATCTGAAGAACCCTTTCATGATGCAAAGAACCCTTTAATCATGCTAAGGGTTCTTTGTGTGCTCATGGTTCTTTACGTAACAATTTTCTTTAGTAAAGAACCCTTAAAGAACCACCATTTTTAAGAGTGAAGAAAAAAATATATATATATATGTGTGTGTAAAAAAATTGCCTACAACTTTTGCACAGCACTTTACGGTAATGTAAGGTGAATAACAAGTCATGCTATGAGTGTCAAATACGGTCATATGTTGTTAAACAGCTTGTGCGCTTTAACTGCTTCTGCACTGTAGGCTTCCCTGAACCGATGTGATACATGCCTCTGACCACAAGATGGCAGCACTTCACTGTGGAAACAGTAGTCCACCATGTACTTTCTGATGAGCCCAAAGAACTGAAAGGCTTTACTGACCTGTGACACAAGACCTTTCAGATAATCTTATACATAATTACCCTTTTAGACCCTGCAGAACAGGCTGTGTTCTCTCAGCCTCCCTTGACAGCATTTCTTTGCCATTTCAAAGAGTATAATAATAATTACGCTGCCCACATAACGAGACCACGCAACCTTTCCGAGGTAAATCAGGTTTAGGTCTCAAATAATCTTTGATATAGTCTGTCACACAGTCATTTGCGTAGAATGCATATGCATCTGTATGCATAATTACAAAAATAATGCTACTAGAGCCATATATATTGTTAGTGTTACATTCAAGCAGCCACATGAAGCATCTCAGCCACAGAATGTGAGAACAGTAGCTGCATCCTCCCACGCGTTCTACTGGGTGAAGAACATAAGGAAGGCATAAGAGGAGTAACTGAGCAGGGCCTGAGAACACAGTCTGGACCCACCTTCCCTCATCTGTCAGGGAGATGTTTGTTTACACTCAGTTCAGTGAACCCACAGTAGCTCTTTCTCTCTCTCTCTCTCTCTCTCTCTCTCTCTCTCTCTCTCTCTCTCTGTGCCATCTGGTTTGTATTTGTGGCTCAGACTGGCCGCTGTACAGTTCTCTTTCAGCCTCTGAGGTGCTGCTTTTCAGCCAAATCGCAGTGGGAGGTCCTCTCAGACGCACTATTCACGAGTTTAACCATCATGTCCGTTCCCGTGCATTAAACACCCTCTAAAGACTGATCCTTGTGTTAAAGGCGGATAATGATGGGGAAGGTCTGGGGAAAGTGATTTACAGTGAACAGGCTGTGTGTCAGCAGTGAACAGACTGATTTTGTCCAGCACATTTGACAGTGATACTTCCCTCCTTCTTCAGGCTCAGAGAATCCTTTATATTTTGAAATGCAAAACTCTACGTGTGTCTCAGTTTTAACCACAGGGTCTGTATTTCAGTATTACTGTTCTATTAAAACTTTGTAACTCCATTTTCACCACTTATCCCCTTAAATGACCAACAGGCCCAAAGTTTGATTATACACTCCTATAACCTAAGAATAGTCTTAGTGTGTAATAAACCTGAGGTTATTACCTAGGCAGCCTAGATGGCAGCCTATGGCATTGTGTGAACATTTCATGATGAATGGACCAATAGAAACGGTCCAAAATAAAAGTTACAATTTGAAGATTCTGTTGCGTTTAATTTTGTTTTACATAACGCTGCATAACAAACCTCGTATCTCCAAAATGGTAAGTTTACAGGAGAAAAAAAAGTCTATCTATCTATCCATCCATCCATCCATCCATCCATCCATCCATCTATGATCGGACCATAAGTAACAACCCAAAATCACTTGTACAATCATCTGGTTCCACTCACTTACACTAAAACTATATATATATATAACTGTATGGGAACACAATGCTAAATAATATACTGTAATGATCTAATTACATTATTTTTTGGTCAAGCTATCTGCCTTGAGGTTTGATCTCCACTATTCAAATATGATATCATCTTAGAATCTTCTACAACTCTGCTCATTATTCAAGACACAACTAACACTTTTTATTTTTTTTATTTACAGCTTCTTAGTGTAATACTGATCATCTGAAACCTGTGAAGGTGTACAGGATGAGCACATTAGAACTTGTCTACGACTAATTTGGTTGTGTTTTATTAAAAACATTGACTGTAAACCTCTTAATAGTGATTCTTAACTTTTTAATGCTAGTGTAAATGAGTAAATGAGACTGACACTGATTTTACATAGTCAAATATCTGTCTTTGCTTTTTTCATCATTTGAAAATGCCAGCTGCCCTTTACATTGTGTGAATGGAGCAAAGGAAAAAGTCCAAAATGTCTTGGAATAAAATCTCACTGCATTAATGCAGATTTTCATTATATGCATGTTTCTTCAACCGCGACCCAGAAGGATAAGCAGCTTAAGAAGAGTGGGTGTGTGTGTGTGTGTGTGTGTGATTCTTCAGTACCAGTTCAGTAACAGGTGTCTCATGCATATGCAGTGAATTACGCAGAAATGTTGAAAATCAGTGGAATTTCCCCTTTAAGGGGAAAACTTCTTTTTGCGAAATTTGAATTGGGCCTCCACAATGATGTGGCTTCAGGAGATACATACTTCTCATAATTGATACGCTCTAAAATGGGATGTGTTAAATAACAACACTTATTTGTGTAACCCATTTAACACTTTTTGTTTTTTTTTTCTGTGTTAAAAGTGACACAAAAAGTGTCCATAACAGGGCACAGAAATATTTCAACACATTTTGTGTTAAAAGTAACTGATGTGTCTAGTTAGAGACAGAATGTGTTGTTTTTAACACATCTGTGTTAAGAGAGTACACATTTCTAGGAATGGTGGAAGACTCTTTGTTAAATTATTACACTGAGAGGCAAAACAGGTGTCTGCAGTGAACAATACACCAGCACTCATGCGAATAAGCAGCATTTACTCCAGAAACACCAAATTTGTTCTTCATGTCTGTCTATCCAGGTCATGCTGTGGTCAAACTGAGAGGAATCTGTGAGCTCTGTCCTCGGCTACATGCGTACTCTCACACAGAAAAGGGAAGAGCGGAAAAAAAAGGACACAAAACCCCTCTTCAGGGTTGTCTTCCTGACACAGGAAATCCTGAAATAGCATCATGCAAAGAGGGCTTGTGAGCTCACAGTCAAACGAGCAGAAAATCAGACAAATCAGGGGCTGCTAATGCTCTGCGATAACTGTCAAAAGGCCAACCAGCTGCTAGGACTGAAGCCAGGTCCCGGCCTGTTAGCAATACGGGAAGTTAGATCAGCTGCAGCTGTTTTACGGGAGTTTGTACATAAACAGAAGTGAGAAGTAGGGCTGAGTGGATCGATGAAAACAGCCTTGTCACACCAAACAGTGCAAAAGAAAAACATCCCTTTTCTTTAGAAGGTCGGGTTACATGTTTTGTTGATTTTGTAAGTGAAAATAAGTGAACACATCCTCTACAGAGAACACACTTCTGCACATTTTAATGGACAATTAATGTTTATTTAATTAATTTAACAGATTAGAAGAAAATAATAAAAATAAAAAAAACAGAAAATATGACTTCTGCTAAAGTTTGGGCACAGATCACATTTTAAAGTGTTTTTTTTTTCCTTTACAATATGTTAAATTTAGCAAATAAACAGAAACTAAAAGAGCTAAAATGTTCCTATTTAGGTTTTTTTCCCTGTAGAGGACGCGTTCATTTATTCCAATTAGAAAATCAATAAAACATTAACCAGGGATGCCAAAACTTTTTATTTAGAATGAATACTACACTGCAAAAAATGGTATATTGTCAAGTAAAATTATCTTAAATTCAGTCAATTAATCCAATATTTCTCCTGTTGAGATTGTTGTAAGTTTAATTTAAGATTATTTACCTTATTTTTTGACATTTTTACTTGTTTTAAGAAATGTTATTAAGTAAAATTATCTTACTATGCAGAATTTTTAAGAAAACAAGTGAAAAGTGTCTAGAAATAAGCTGGATAATCTTATAATAAGTGCAAAACCATCTCAGAATGAGAAATATTAGATATATCGACTAGATTTAAGATAATTTCACTTGGCAAGATGCCTTTTTTTGCAGTGTATAAAGCAATCAAATTTTTTTCACTAGAACGCCTAATGATGTCATATATCACTGTTTTCCGAAGAAATCCTCGTATCTCCAAAATGGTAACTTTACAGGAGAAGGAAAAAACCTACTTCACTTTTAATGTAAGTCAATGGAACCAGACTTTTCATTTTGGGCCGTTTCTTTTGGTCCATTCACCATGAAATTTACACACAATGTAAAGTATAAAAGGTATTTTCAATTTATGTCAAAAACTGAAAAACGTTTTTCAGTTTTTTACATAATTTGAAAATACCTGTTTGTGGAGATACGAGGTTTTCTTCTGACAGCAGCGATATAATGTAATGATATCTTGACAAGTGCGATCATCTTGAATCTAGTTAATATACAGTTGTAGGCAAAAGTTTAGACGAATTTTGTTGCAAATATGTTAATATGTTCTTAGAGAACAAACTTAAATATGGCATTTTTCTGTAAATTCTACTGCACCATATTTATTTGCTGAGTTTAACATATTAAAAAAATTATATAAAAAAAGTATAAAATGAACCATAATTTTTGCACTTGTCACATCTCATGTTTTACTATATTAACAATATGTTAAATTCAGCAAATGAGCAGTAATCGTGCATTAAAGCGTGCAGAAGTGTGTTCTCTATATAGGATGCGTTGACTTAACAAAACATATAATTGACCAAGGGTGCACAAATTTTGCATAAGACTGTCTCTACTATTTCCCATTGCGAGATTTTTGTAAAAACATTATAAATTAACTTATTTCTGGACACTTCATACTTGTTTTAAGTCATTTGATCTACACTATAGTCTTATTTCATTGGCAGATAATTTTGCTTGAAACAATTGTGTTACATTGATGTAACACGAGCAACTAATGAGCCGACTGCTCTACATAAAATAACTTAAAAAAAGAAAAACACGTCTAGAAATAAGTTAACCCCAGATTAGTAGTAGGAGTCCAAATTTTGCTTCTTTAGTTTGGCACTGGAACTACGAGTCTAACGTTGCTAATGAAGACAAGAAGTCAACAGTCACCCAAATCTACATCCCCAAAACTTCTCTCAACTTGCTCAAACCACATCCAGCTCTTCATTAACTCTTCATTACGGTCACACAGACTTCTCAATGTGGTTTAGGATACAGTCTGACTTACTGTGAACTATAAAACTAAATTTTCACACTTAAGAAGGAGCATCGGAATTCGACACCTGTTGCCTAAAATGGCTGCCTGTTGCATTTGGCTACATGATGACGTTTCGTCCATTTTTATAGTAATTATTATTTTATTTTATAGTAATTATATAGTAATAATTATTTTATAGTAATTATTATTTTATTTTATAGTAATTAATTAGACTGCATATGGTTTGAACAGGCTGAGAGAAGTTCTGAGGATGCATTTAAAGAAAAGATTTGGGTGACTATTGACTTCTAGTGTTTGTTAGCAACGAAACTAATAAGGCAAAATATGGACACCAAACATACCTTAACTGATCGACTGCATCTGGGGTTAGTACAGAATTGTGTAAACGTTATATTTCACTGAACTATTTACCACTGGACTTCTTGTCCAATATCTATACCTCACTTTTTCCTTTAAATTGCTGGAAGATAAGTAGTTCCTCACATCAGCTAATATAAGGACACTGCTGTGTGCTAGTGCGGTGAAGAGCCACTGTTCCAGATTCAACTGTGCTTCGGCATTTTCCCACAAGATGTCTCCCTGCTCCATTACTCGGGATACTGGATTACACAGTCAGTGCCTAAAGCCCTCTTTTTCAAAAGCTTGCACATGTAAAGCTTTTGGTGTAATTGAATACAGTCACTGCATGTGAGACAGATTCCTCACCGCTATTAACAACATAATAGTTTTTTTGCACCACAAAAGCCTTTTCATACACCCCACTAAATTCCATGCTCTGAGACCAAAATACGAGTCTATATGTAATGGTGTCATTACTCAGTTTACTTGGTGAAATCAAACAAAGGAAATCTCACTGTACTTCCAGACCGTCTACAGATATTGAGTCACTGCAGCAGCTAAGCCTGCCTCGCATTATCCATCATTAATCCTTTACTTTACTGCCATATCTGGTCATCCAGGGAATAAATGCAGCAGTGGCAGAGTCTATATCCTGCATATTATTCTCACTCCTCTCACAGTTCATCCCTTTCTGTAGAGTGAATATGCTTCACTTCCACCTGTTCCACAATTCAGCCAGCTTTACACTGCTTACAATACAAATCTTGAACAGAAAAATCAGCCTCTTTCAGCTCAAAAATTAGAATCTCTTGAAATCTGAATTGAGCAAAACTGTACGGCCTAATGAACCAACACAACACATGCAGCTAAGTGTCAAGGTCGTTAATGATAAAGTGAGTTATTCCCTTACCTGTACCTTCAGGTTGTATCCTCTGACTTTGGTCCTTGACGTCTGTAGCAGAGTCCCCGGGTTTAGAAAGACTGGGCTGCCTTTTAGCAAACAGACTCTCTTGCAGTGAAACCCCATTCATGCCGTCGCTCATGCCGCCATGTCTTATGAGCATGTGTATCACCATCTGTTGCTGAGTTCGGAAGCCTTTTCCACACTCCAAGCACTCCGAGGTCTTGTTTTGGGAATTCTTCCGGCTATGGCGGGGAGAGGGACGGTACTCAGAGTCACTCAAACTCTCAGCGCTACCATCTCCCGTAGATGCCTGCCCACTGCTTCTCTGCTGATCGGCATTGCTGCTGGAGTTGCTTGAACTGTGGGTCACTGTCCCCCGCTTCTTCTTATTCGGGATGGTCAGGGAGGCATCCAGCTGTTTTTTCCTCTTTTCTTGTCTCAGTAACACATACTCGCCCTTTTCCCGATCGTAGGCCACATCTGCATCTGCTAGCCTCTCCTCCCAGCCCAAGCCCTTCTCAGAAACTTCCACCACCCTGCCCCTGGTGGCCAGCTGCCATGCCTGGTAGCTGCTCACAGGGTCCAACTCTGGGATTCTCTTGCCAAGACTCCCCTCAGATAGCTTCTCCGTCTCACCCGCCGCTTGCAGGTTCAGGCACTCCATGAAGCGTCTCTTGGTGGCAGGAGATAAATGATCATCGCTCTTGTTTGAAGGTTGCTCTGCATTGTGGACTCGCTCGTGCAGCCGCAGACTCTTGCGGTCATGGAAGAAGTTCCCACACTTGGCGCACAGTTCGTACAGGCATACCTCATTTACCAGGGAAGCTTCATCCTGTGACACGTTGTTGACGGTAGCGGGAGGTTCAGAGTCACTCTTGGGCTTGGCCTTCGTGCCATGGGTCTTCATATGGCTGCGCAGGAACCAGGGCTCGCGGAAGCGCCGGCCACAGATGCGGCAACCGTGATCAAGGGCACTCTGATGCTTCTTCATGTGGGCTTTGAGGAACCAGGCTTGAGTAAACACCTGGTCACACTGATCACAAGGAAAGTCCCCTTTGCCAAGCTCATTCTCTTTCTCTGCTTCTTCCATGCAAGGGCCTTCCTCAATCATGGATTCTTCTTCCACTGGAGGGGTCTTCTCCATTCGGGCTTGCGGGAGCTCCTCCTGGGAGGCATCATGGAGGTCTTGCATATGCTGCTCCAGCTCGGCCTGACTCCGGAGCCTCTTCCTACAAAGTGAACACTGCTTGCCTCCCTCATTGGATGTCCTCTCCTTTTTAGCCCCTTTCTTTCTGGCTTTAGTGGCCTCCTCGCCATTGACCACCTTATTGCAGGCAGAGGTGCTTTCTGTTGGGCTGGAACAACCACCCTGCTCCTCAGGTACCCCTCCTTCCTTCTCTCCCTCATCTTCTGCCTCCTCGTCACCAACTCCTGGGCTCTGATTCATACTGTCCAGCTTGTGGCTGCGAATGTGGGCCTTCAGACTGCCTTTCTGCGCTGAGCGGTGCTGGCAATGGGGGCACTTGTACGGCTTCTCCCCAGTGTGCTTCCTCATGTGCTGGGACAGAGAGCTTAGGAAGGGAAAAGTTCTGCCACAGAGCTCACAGTTATGGCCCTGATTCTTCTCTTCATCTGCCTTATTATGGGTGGCCTTGGAGATGGGGTCATCCACTGCGATTTCTTGCCGTTCAACCTCCATGTTAAGGCTCGAATGATCTGCTATGTGGCTATCTGTCGTCCAGTTTGTTATATCCTAGTAAATATGGGTCAGCTTTAGTCATATGTCCTGAATGAAAGTTCTCTTTACCGTAAGTCTCACTGATGATTGATGCCGGGTAGTTGTGCTGTTTTTCACTTGATTATGGTTTCCGCTATGAATCATTTTACCTACGGGAGACCTGCCTCATCCTGTGACCTGTGGAGAAACAAAAGCAGCATTAGATGATGAGCCAGCCTAGCAACTAAATATAAGTTTGTACATGTAGATGAGTAAGCATTTCTAAAAAAAAATGCATATGATGGTGCTTTCATCCATTTTCTACATTTTGAAGACTAGTGAGTCGCTACGCTTATAATAGCCATAGTGATGCATTAGATGGATAACATGAAACTCTGGGCATTCCTGCTGTGTATATGGCGTAGTCTTTGCTGTGGAAATGTGCTTAAAGGAACCATCAAAGAGCAAGGACTATGCATTATATCTGAAATGCTGCGCAACCAATGTGCACTTCCTTTGTGCAGAATTTTAGGTACTTTGAACTTCTGTTTTGCACAGACCTACTTGCATAATCCAGAAGGGGAAACTTTCTGCTCAATGAAATCCTTCAGATGTAAACAAGATCATTCAGAGTGGTTTGCTGTGAAATGCTCCATTCTAGAGTCAGAAACCAGACACTTGAAGAGTGCAATGCATCTTAAAGCTACTACACACACAGTTATTACATGAAATGGTTTTGAAAACTTAACTTGATTTAAAACAGTGTTTTGGAATAGTTTTGATAAAGTTTTGGCTTAAAACTACTTTTAATCATATATTCATGGCGGAGAGGTATATGCAAGGCATTGTAATAGCAAAATGGTCCCCAAAAGTTTTCACATTATTCGCATTACATATAAAAACTCAGGTTCACTGAAGATTTTGGATAACAAGTAAAAATGCTATATTGTGTAGTAAAAATCACGACATCAGAAGTTGGTGAGCTTCTCCAGAGTGGCACGTTTCAAATCATAACACTTACAAATGGCTTTGTTTATATCTCAGTTACTGAATTATGGAGAAATGTAGTATTACGTAAGCAGTCACATCTACATTCAGGCAGAAGCAAGAGTCAGAAAACTCAGTAATCACTATGATTATGGGCCTACTGCCTGCTACACATACATATCGCTGCTGTCAGACTAAAACCTGTATGTCCATTTTTGTCATTTAACATAATTTGAAAACTACTGCCCTTTACATTGTGTGTAAATTTCAAGATGAACAGACCAAAAGAAATGGCCCAAATTGACTTGGAAAAAAGTCTGGTTCCATTAACTTGCATTAAAAGTTAATTATGTTTTTTCCTTCTCCTGTAAAGTTATCATTGCCAGCAGGACGTTGTTTATTCCTTCTCTGCGCATATTGTCAGTACAGTATAATTGGACAAAGCATACTGGACTCCACTGATATACCATTTAAAGAGAAAAAGAGAAAGAGAGCAAGCTAGAAGCAAACATCATTAGTATGTCTAATATGTAGCTATGCGAGCTACCTTCAGGGCCTGGATGAGAAGCTGTCTGGCTGCATCAGGCAAGCAGTTCTGACAGGCTGATGTGCACACAGAGACAGACTGAGCTTCTTGATGCCTCATCCCTCATAGGGAAACGTGTCTCTTTTCAGAGTGCATTAGACTGACTCATTTTAACAGCTTGCCTGTGTCTTTTCTGACTCAAACAAGCACCTAAAAAAAAATTCTGTTTGCAAGCACATTGATAATTACTGCTGAGGAGGACATGGCACAGTTTGAATCTGTAATCACACAATTCCCAGCCAGGAATCAGGATTTCCTGCCATTTTGTCTTGCTTTCCATCAGTTCCAAACAGCTCTCTCGTTTGTCAGGGAATAGTTTTGCAGAATGCAAGCTAAGCATACCACTAAAATCTGCATATAGATGTAAACAAAGTCATTCAGAGTGCTCTGAAGCGAAACGGTTCATTGTAATGAAACTTTGTTAGTAGTGGAACCACAAACATGGCCATTTTGTTTACCATGTAAAACCACCAGTGAACCTGAGTTTTTATATGTAATGTTGATGACGGTAAAACAGTGATACGTTTTCTTTGGGGGCTATTTTGCCTATTCACTTCATTTATCTCTCCACCATGAATGGATTAAAAAAAAAAAACATTTTAGGCCTTCTCAAAACTATCATAAAACTATGTCTCAGGCATCAGGCAGCTTACTCATAACCATAATCTTTTAGAGCTTTTAGTTCCTATCACCACCACCATCAACAATTCTGACTCAAATTTCTATAGAATGAAGCATTTCACACCAAACCACTCTGAACTACATCCTAATGGTTTAATTATGCAGACATTTTAGAAAATTGGTGGAATTTCCCTTTAAGATGTAACCAGTCATTCAGAGTGGTTTGATGTGAAATGGTTGATTGTAGAGACTCAGATTTCTTTACAGTGGTGGTGATAGGAACCAGGTGTCACCATGACTACAACACAGATATAGACATTTTATTTACTATCCAAAACCACCAGTGAACCTACACGTGTCTTCTGAGTTTTTCTATGGAATGTTGATGGTGGTAAAATAGTAATAAATCTGCAAAAATAAGTTTTCTTTGGGGTCTATTTTGCCTCATAATACCCTGTGTGTACCTATCTGCCATGAACAGACCTTAAAAAATGTGTTTTCATCCCAAACCTTCTCAAACCTATTGTCAAATAATGTATCAGGCATCAGGCAGTTCATAACCGTTTTGTGTAAAAACCTTCTGTGAGGAAGCTTGTAGAGGCATAAACAATTGGGATGTCTGGTTCCCATCACCACCACTGTGACTCTAATTCCTTCTAGAATGGAGCATTTCACATCAAACCACTCTGAAGGACTTTGTTTACATTTTACTGATTGAATCACACAGAAAATTTGAAAAATAGGTGGAATTCCCCTTTTAAATGATGGTTGAGGAGTTGGCAGTAGGGCCAAAAATGTACATGGTGGACCTGGTAGACCACCAAAACGGTCCCCATCAGATAAACACCAGAGCGGAGAAAATCAAGCTGCTTCAGATCTGAAACAATCAACATCCATCATCCTTCCACTGTGAGAAGACGACTCAGCGCTGTGGGTCTGAAAGGATGTGTGGCTGTTCAAGAAGAACCTCACTGAGAAAAGGAGACGGACACATCAAACAAAGAAGCTGAGCAATGGACTGACCACCCCAGAGTCCAGACCTCAACATCACTGAATGTGTTTACTTGGACTGTGATAAGTAGAAAGTACAACCAACTTCTAAGACTGAACTAAATAACCCTGCAGGCGTCTGAAAAAAAAGGAAGCTGGACAAATGAATTAGTTTAGGCTTCTGTTATATATCTAACTATATTTAACTTTTTTTCCTGATACCAAATGTTAAATAAACGAAGGTTGGTCTCCGACCTCTGCACAGTGCTGCGTGTGTGAGAGTCTCTTTGTCTTAAGGACAGTGGTGCCAGTCTCATCCCAGACCCAGTTCCCTCTCCTAGTCAGAATGAGGGATGGCCGTCTGCTCGCAGACCTAAATTGAGTATGTGTGTGCGCGTATGTGTGCGCGCTGAGGCGTTAAGGGCCGCATTCACTGTGGGCAGGAGAGGAGCCGGTTGGGACGAAGCCTCAGGGCCGAGCCTCTCTCTTTCCCAGCAATCAATAATCCATTATAAAACAACTGCATTTCACCACTCACATACAGACACACATACACCCACACATACGCAACTCCGCCGAGCGAAAAACTCGTATTATTATATAAACGAACACTACCTCGTCTTTAGCAGCGAGGGAGGATACAGTCGAGTGTCTGTCAAACAGCATTTTAGGTAACTGCACTGCTCTCTGATAAGATTATTTGTCTTATAAAAGCACGAAGGTTTTACCTTATTCTAAGTACATTTTTGGCACAGCAGTTAATAAAAGATGAGAGGGTAATTCTGATGTTCTGTTGTTTGATAAGCAGACTTGGCTCATGACAACTTGGCTCATTCTACTGTGCATGGAAACAGAGTCTTAGGTGCTTTTATCACATTTCAAAAGCTATATTTACGCATTTTGGTAACACTTTATCATAGAATCAGCAGCATTCGTAAGTGTACGCCACACCTAAATAAGCCCTTTGGGACACACTTTTATAAAGCCTTATTCCAACAACTGGCAGCATTTGTAAATTTTGAAATCAGCAAGTCTTACAACAAATAACACTTCTTGGAATAAGCCTTTATAATGTCTATATGGGTTTAAGCCAGCTGTCATGAGAGCCCATGTAGATGTTGTGTAGCCTTCTGAACATTTCACTGTGTTTAAAAGGCTACAGAACTCCTACATACGCCTCTCAAGACAACTAACTTGTAAAGACATTTATATAGGCTTACTGAGGGGTGGTGTAGTCTTATGAGCACTGACCTTCAATAAAGTGTGTATTTCCTTAGTAGTTTTAAGACATTTAGATATAGATTTAGATATTGCCAAGTATTTTTGCTACAATTTTTGTTACAATTGAAAGAAGCAGCATTACTGAGTCGGGAGAAAAATATGCTATGATGACAATCAGAGGTCCGAAAGCACAACCCATGTTGTTCATCCGCAAGTTGCGTGCAATTACTCATTTCCACCAGAGAGGTCTCCAAATCCCCAAAACTTGCATAGTGCAGCTTTAATATAAGCATTTACATCTCATTTAATGTATTTTCTTCTAATTCATATTATATATATATATATATATATATATATATATATATATATATATATATATATATAAAATTTAATATCGCTGCTGTCGGAAGAAAAACGTTGTATCTCCATTTTTGTCGTTTTTCAGTTTTGGACATTATTTCAAATACCTGTTGTCCTTTGCATTGTGTGTAAATTTCATGATGAATGGAGCAAATGAAACGGCCCAAAATGACTTGGAAAAAAGTCTGGTTCCATTGACTTACATTAAAAGTAAAGTAGGTTTTTCATTCTCCTGTAAATATATATATATATATATATATATATATATATATATATATATATATATATATATATATATAGTCATATTGTAATTGTTACTTCTGTTACTTAATGTTCTTCTGATAAATAAGAGAACTAACACGAGGTTAAAAAAAAAAAACAAATACAAGGCTAATTTGATAACATATGAAAACAAAGATATCACAACTTATTA